TTTCCCTTGAACAATCGTTACCTTTAAATTAGAAAACATTTTCATCATCATCTGCCAGTAGAAATGTTTCACATGCTTTCTGTGACCGATCAGTGAAATGTGGTTTTCATTTGAGCAAACTATAAATACAGAATGCAGGTGTTTGAGTGAGGGTAATATGGATGCAGTATAGGGAATTGAGATGTTCCTGTTTAAATAAGATGCCAAAATGAACTAAAATAAAATATACTGTAACTGAGGCAGACATAGTACAAAACTATTGTTGGGTTCTATGTACCATGGTCATCATGGCTTGCCAATTTACTGAGAGTTGTTTCTTAAATATATTTTTATTGGCGAATTATAGCACATCAACTTTTACATGCATGCACCAGGCCATTATCTGGACCTCTGCCATCCTGTGTTACACCACCAGTGTAATGTAACCCAAAGGCTATAATAATTTCTTGTATGATATCTCTGTGGCATCAAATGAGCTCAAATTATCCCTAATTTTAGTCTTGGTCTGTTTTTCTTTTACAAGACTCTTTGTCTGACCTCATGTTGAATCGTTCCCTCAAGGTGTCTGTGCACAAATGCACAAACAACAGGCAGTCTTACTGTATATGTCAGTTTTAGGGGTGCTGATTATTTACGGGTGGTATTCATTAGGCTGAAACTGTGTGGTATTCATACAAGCAAACCTCAAAGAAAAAACAAGAACAGTCCAAGACAGGTATTTTATTTGGTGCCCTAATAATATCTGCTTGTAGCAACTACAGCATTATATTTATGTTTATGCTTAGGCACTCACAGCACTTAATGAAAGTTAGATTAGATTGTGGTGTTGATTTAGCACAGCAGAAGTCAAAAGTGACTTCAGGTACAAGACGTAACATTTAACTACAACTGTGATCTTTCACCAAACGTCACTGATATTGTTGCCTAAACCTAATCACACACAGGCCTCAGGATGTGAACCTTGTGCCCGCTTTGTATGAAATTTCCCCTCAAAATGCAACTGACAAAACAAATTTCTAAAATATACATATAATTAATAGGAGAATGAGTTTCAGGCATGGGCTACCTAGCTAAAATAAAGTAATAGCCATGTCATCAGTGTATTCCTCAACTAATGTAGTTAATGCCAACTCAAGTTTAAGTGCAGTCAAATTTGAGCAAATGGTTGTCACATTACAGAATAAAAAGGCTTAAAATGCAAAGATGAACAAGTTACATGTGAAACCAGTAAAGAACAGTGAAGGCACACATTTGTACATTTAGCCATGCATATATACACATTATAAATAGGCTACACATTATAAATAAACATACAGTGACATCATAGTTTGAGTCCACTGCACAAAAATACAACTCTAAGCCCCAGCTGAAAATGTTAATTAAAGTTACAGTATGTAACTGTTTTCAAACATTATTGTTGTAGAAATATGTTGCGCTTTCTGAAGAAGCTGAGGTCCTTCGACATCTGCAAGAAGCTGATTCTACCAGTCTGCCATCGCCAGCGTCCCTTTATATGCTCTTGTGTGCTGGAGAGTCAGCATTAAGAAGAGAGACGCTTTGCAGATGGACAGATGAGGAAAGCTGGCTCTGTAGTGGGTACACAGCTGGACTTCCTTATATCTGTAGTGGAGAAGAAGACTCTAGGTAAGCTGCTGCCCATCCTGGACAATGCTCTTCACCCTCTGCACAGCACCATCACCAGGCCGAGGAGTTCATTCAGCAGGGTGTTGCTGTCTCCCTCCTGCTCCATGGACAGACTGAAGAAGTCGTTTGTTCCTTTGGCCATGTGACTCTTCAGCTCTTCCCAATGAAGAGGTCTGATCTGGACTTTTGGACATGGACATGTGATGCCACTATTTAGCTCCATAATATTATAATCCCACTTCCCCATGACACTATACTACTGCACTGTGCACTGTTTGCCCACTTCTTTACCTTTGCACATAATGTTCATTCTTGCACATATTGGCATATAGTTTTTATGTGAACACAGTATTCAGTCCTGCACAAACTGGCATTGTACACAAGTACACCAAGCACATTTATTTATTATGTACACCC